GGGCTCTCTCCAAACCTACTGGGTGCATAACACTCTGGATCTGCTAGCAGCTCGGAGGTCTCCTTGAAAGACTCGTGATTCCTTTTATGATAGTTTTCAACTTAAAAAAAAAAATCTCGCCCTAACCGGTGTTGCTCAGTGGATAGAGCGTCGGCCTGCAGACCCAAGGGTCCCAGGTTCGATTCCGGTCAAGGGCATGTACCTTGGTTGCGGGCACATCCCCAGTTAGGGGGTGTGCAGGAGGCAGCTGATCGATGTTTCTCTCTCATCGATGTTTCTAGCTCTTTATCCCTCTCCCTTCCTCTCTGTAAAAAAATCAATAAAATATATTTTAAAAAAAACTCTCTGGAAAGCTTTCTGGAAATCACATGCTTCTCTGCGGCATCGAAAATAAGGCCTGGGTCACAGGCGTCACATTCGGCCGCGGTGCGGGGGGGGGGGGGGGGGGTGCTCCCTGGAGGGCCGCGCAGGCCGAGTTCTTGGGGGTTTGCTGGGAAGACACTCAACAGTGAAACCCGTTTGATTCTAAAAGCAGGCGCGGAAGATATGTCTTTCAAAAAGCAAATGAAATAGGTCTGACCTTCTCTGTAAATGAGCAGGGCGGCTGGGAGCAGTGCAGGCGCGGGGGTCAGAGGAGAGACACGGAGGCAGATAAAGGCCAAGACACTGGCCAGGGAGGGGCCTGGGCACTGCTGAGTGCGGTGACCTTGGCCTGCACCCCGGGCCGCTCAGCCTCCCCGATCTAGTCGTGGTGTGAGGGGCTCGCGGCTGCTCACAGTTCCTCAGCTGCCTGTCCCCACGCGGCTTTCAGAGGCTCTCTGGGGAGGGGCCGGCCACAGCCACCAGCCGCCGAGCTGAGGAGGCAGGGACCCGCGGTGCTGTCCCAGGGGCCTGGGGGAGGTGACCGGCTGCTGAGGAGGTGCCTCTGAAGAAGGGGCCTGGACGGGGCGGCCGCCCGTCCGCTCACTAGTGAGCCACCAGCTTCCGGTGAGTGTGGAACAGAAGTGGCAGCCGGGCCTTCTTTACTGCCAGGCGTCCCGCAGTCGCGGGGAGGGAAGCAGCTTGGGAACACCCCCCCACTCCCACCCCCCTCCCCAGCTCCTCAGGGGCCACACCTGCAGGAGGCCTGCGGGGTGCTGGTGGGGTGGGGGAGCTGGGAAGGTGAAGCTTCTGGAATAACCTAGGCTCTCGGGAAGGGAAGAGGGGCTGTGTGAACTGTGACGTGCAGACCCTCCCATGGAGGAAGCCTGAGGGAGGGCACACGGCCGGGAGGGACGCTGGCCCCCCAGGAAGCTGCCGCCAGGACCCTGCCCAGCGCTGGAGCGGGCCGGGAGGGGCTCAGCGGACCCTCACTGTGACCTCGAGCGAGTCCGTCCTGCCTGGAACTCGGCAAATCCAGGGGCAGGACTCCAGGGCCGTGGTCGGCAAACTGCGGCCCCTTGAGTGTGGCTCTTCCACAAAATACCACGTGCGGGCGCGCACGTACAGTGCGATTGAAACTTCGTGGCCACACTCAAGGGGCCAAAGAGCCGCACGTGGCTCGCGAGCCGCAGTTTGCCGACCACTGCTCCAGGGCCATCCTGACTCTGGACGGCTGAGGTTTTTTCCCTTAATTACAAACATATGTGTGTTCTTATTGGTTTTAGAGAGAGGAGGGGAGAGGGCGAGAGAGAGAAACATTGACCAGCTGCCTCGCCCACGCACCCGACTGAGGATCGAGCCCGCACCCTCCGGAGCACGGGACGGCGCTCGGCCACCTGAGCCGGGGCCAGGGCTTTAACTTTGTGACCGCAGCCGAGCGACATAAAATGCGCCTGTTAACCCTTTTCGAAGATACAGTTCAGGGCATGAAGCGTATTCCCTTTGCTGGGCAACCATCACCGCCATCACCTCCAGGACTTTTTCATCCTCCCAAACTCAACGCTGCCCCATTAAAGGCGACCCCCCCCCCCCGCCCGCCCGCGGCACCCACAGTTCTGCTTTATCTCCACGTGAATGTGACAGTCTAGGGACCTCACAGAAGAGAAATGATACAATATGTGTCCCTTTGTGGCTGACTTGTCACTTAGCATCCTGTCTGCAAGGCTCATCTCTGTTGTAACCTGTGTCAGAACTTCCTTCCTTCTTAAGGCCAAGACTCTGATTCCCTCTGAACCTCCCCTGGCAGCGCACAGAGGCACACGGGCAGGGGCATGGGCACAGGGGCACACGCGCAGGGGCACACGCACAGGGGCACATGCACAGGGGCACACGCACAGGGGCACACGCACAGGGGCACACGGGCACAGAGGCACACGCACAGAGGCACACGGGCACAGAGGCACATGGGCACAGAGGCACACGCACAGGGGCACACGGGCACAGAGGTACACGCACAGGGGCACACACACAGGGGCACACACACAGAGGCACACGCACAGGGGCACACGGGCACAGAGGCACATAGGCACAGAGGCACACGCACAGAGGCACACGCACAGGGGCACAC